TATTTTTTTCAAAGGAGGTAAAATTTCTTGCTTGTCTTCTCTGTGATTGCCTGTGATGCTGGCGCATGTTTGATAAAGACATCTTTCATATCCCTTTCTTTAAGAAGAATACTACTTACACTCTTTTTGGATTCAGTAGCATACAGGATTGTAGTTCTTTGCAGGCAAATTTGGTTGACTTTAACATACTTAAGAAGATGAAAAAGAAATGTCCAGCTGGACGCTATATAGGTATGCAGTAGTATGTGGTAAGATCCAAGTCTGCTAGCCACGTACTTCTACCTGTTCTTCTGACAATCTGTTTCCAGCAGAAATAATACATTGTGGGAATTATGTACTCTCTGGAACATCTGGGTAAGCTATGGAAAACAGCATGATGCTTTGCATAACCAGACAGATTACATCAAGACCAAATCAGACCTGGGAGGAACGGCGGACTCCTGGGTATGTGTGAAATTGCTCTTTCACCTTCTGTTGTCATCTTTTCCTAGGAATTGAATAACTCTCCCAGATCACATGGCTATAGTTTTTAGACTTGGATCCTACCACAGTTTCAATGTCTGTCTTCATGATGCTCCTTTCAATGTAAGGGAGAAAATCTACTTTTTCTCCATAAATTATAACTTTTTTTTTGGTTTTGTGCTTCAGAAAATTAAAGTAATTGATGCCATGTCTATACAAAAAGATTGTAATAGCTTGTTATTTAAGTAAAAAAAAAAAACCATAAAATAAATTAACAGTATTCCTCTAAAAAGTCATAGAAACACTGTTCTCATGTATATGTGCCTGTTAATTTTAGTTTTGAAAGATAGCTACCACATCTCAGTGTGTGTAAATGATAACTGTTGCACCTGGTCTTTAAAAAGGTAGGCCTGTAAAATCCTTTTTCATCTCTGAAGATCTCTATAGTAAACCTGGATCTCTATAGTAAACCTGCTGAATGCCGTTGCTTTCCTGGGTTTAAGTTAGACCCCTGATATTATTTGACCATACAGTACTTTTTTAGTATGTGAATGTTCTTTGGTTTCGTTTTTGTTTTTTTTTTTCTCCTGGAGTTGGAAAACAAGAGTATAAATCCCAGTGGCGGAACTTGAAAAATTGGGTTTATGTGGTTCAAATCTTTTGAAAATTCTATAAAGCAGCATGAGACATTGTTCTATTCAATTTCTAGCTATTGATCCAACTGAATGCTTGTTTGGAGATTGCCTTTGCAGCTTTATTTGAGCAGAAGAAATACTTTTCTCTTTAGAGATAGGATGTGTGGGGATTTCACTTACAAGGGACACATTTCATGTATACATATTTCTCATGCTGAGGGCAATAAAATGGTTTTGCCCTTGAAGCTGAGCATTATACCTCTTAACTTGCCCAGCTTCCATGTGTGTTAATTACAAAAAAACATGGTGAGCAACTCACAACTGGGAGATGAATGCTTTGGCTACCAGAGGAAAATAGTTCTGATTAAAGATGTGACAACCAGACCAGCCTGTTTCTGTATCAGGCTCCCTGTGATAAAGCCATTGTTGGCAAGAATTCAGAACTGAAACACTTGGATCCTGGGCCCAAAGATACCCAAGCCTACAATTATGAGAGGTGATATGAGTTGGCCTAATTGCCAACTATCCTACTGACATAAAGGTCATACAGATGTTCTTATCCAAAGGTCTTTGTTTGTTCGTTTGTGCACCTGAGATGTAAGAGGTTTTTCAGAAATAAATACAAATGCTAATTACACCTACTTACACAATGTTTCTTTTCTTTTTTTTCTTTCAAGGTAAGGCAAATAATCTATGATGTTCCTATTTCTCTTTTCCTCTGCTCCACTATTACATTTTTTCAAGTCATGCGCTTTTATTAAATTTCATTTATGTTTATATGTCTGTGTTTTATAAATATATATGCTGAAGTTCTATGAGCTAAAAACTGTGATACAAGAGCAGAGATAACACTATAGTAAATTGGTTCTGTAAAACATGTTCAAGAATCAAGATCCTTTCTATTCATGTGAAAATTCAGAGGTAGACCAGAGAGAAGCATTAAAGCAAAAACCTAAAATGCCACTTCCTTAGTTGACTTAGTTATTTTTGCTTTGTGTAAGATATTAGATATGTCAGGAACAGTAAGCAAGTAAGTAATCATTACGCCTAAATAATGATCTGTATGAATGGTCCCTGGAACAGTGAGTTCTGGCTTTTGTGTTTGTAGCTTCATCCATGGTATTCAAGCTGCATATGAACATGACGACATTTCAAAGGTATCCTGCTGAGATCCCCAGCAAGTGTTCCTCTGTGAATGCTTTCTCCGACATGTAGCATAGGAAACGAGTGGGCTTTTTTCCTTTTGAAAAATAAAAGTTGTCAGTGCCTCATATTGTCACATGATTTTCAAATTTACCAATAATGATGATATTTTGTGCAGAACTTCCCTGTGGGGATTTGCATTTCATCTTTTCTTCTCTTATTCATTTTGAGGTCATGCATGAATGGGACCTGAAGGTCTGTGGCTCTGAATTTGAAGCTTCTCATTTGAATAATTTAAGTTTGTATTAGCTTAATCCTTTAGGGACTTGGGGGCTTTGGAAGTTTAGCTATTACAAGGCCACAAGGGTCTTTTTGGGGCATCTTTCAAGACTCATGTAAACTTTTGGCATTCAGTGATTTTGGTGTTGCCCAGTCCTTGGCTGAATTAATGTTTCTTAAACAAAATTTCTAACCCTCTCTGGTACTTTCAGGGTTATTTCATGTACGGAATTGCATTATATTACAAGCATGATAAATATACAGTATTGACTTAGTGTTGTGTTTCATACAGTCTTATAAAAAGGTATTGATCCATCTTTAGTTCCGAAGGTCAGCATAAAGTTTACAAAGAGAAGTATATGAGGTTAGGAAACATTACGCAGTAGTTGAAAATTAAAGTATTAAAATGTGACCTGCTGTTGCAGGAGCTTTCAGCAAATTTTTTACTATCCTCATCAGTCCCAAAATGCATACATATGATCTAGGTTTTGGCTAATAAAAATTAATACAATATTGTACTGATTAGGATGCTTTGCACTGTAATAATCCTTTCCTTAGAACAGCTCAACATGCATTATTACACCTTTAAAGCATGCAGTTACTTTATTATAGAGTAAATCCGTTACCAACTTGGGAATGGGAAACATCTGATTCCGAGTGTCTGTTTTTCTGCTGGTAGTATTTGGTTCTTCTTTAGTGTCTATGTCCTTTGCCATGCTTAATAACTTACGTATTTAGTTTCTTGAGATAGGGGAATATAAATAGACACCTTGAATAAGAAATTAAGTGAGAATTGGAAAGTACTGCATGGAAAGTAAAACTGTAAATAGAACCCACAGCTGTGAATTTGTAAAAGATCACTGGGATTTAGTTTGAATAGCTTTGGAGACTGTTGTGATCTTTTTATTGAAGAGAGATACAGTTGTGCTTCTGTATAAGGTTGCTTCCCTGGACCAAAGTTTCTGTGATATGCTCACTGAGTGTAGACAGTAGAAGAGGAGGGATAGATGAATGGTGCATCTGTGCTAGTATTTTAGTTCAGATTGGGAGCTTGCTTTTGGAGCAAATCTGGTCATCCCTATTTATGGCAATTTGATAGTGTCATGAGCTGCTTCCTGCCAGATTAAGGGAAGATATTCTCTAGTTTTGGGGGTAGCTATTTTTACTTTTTTATTTTCTAATGTTAATTTCTCCGATAGAAATTCCCTGTTACAAATATTACAATTTTGATGGTCAATGTAACAGAGGGAAAAAAGGGAGAAAGAATCGCAGCCTCCAGCATATTGACAAGATTTTTTTCAGAATAACAACAAAAAATCACATGGAGAATAAAAGACTAAGTACTTTTGCAATCCCTAGTCAGCCATCAATAAGAAAGCTTCTCTATGAGAGCTCAGAGAAATTGCAGTTACAAAATATGTATTACATTACTTATTTTGCAAAGAAGGGAATGGCTACAATAAAAATGGGAATGGCAATACAGCAGAAGTCAGCTTTCAGAAGTAAATGTAAAAATAGTTAGATATCAGAGGGTACTTTGGAGCTGTATAACTTTATAATCATGGAAATGAACATATTTGTACCTGTAATCATACTGAAGGCAAAGAAATAAGTATCATGCCTTCAGACTAACACTGTGGGTTGGAAGAAGTATGAGTCTTAATCTTGCTTCCATTTGGAATGCACAGGTCTTACGCTTACTGCTGAGGTACTGCACTTCAGTGTTACCACCAGCTATGTCTGTAAAATGAAATGAGTTGTGCCACCCACCTGTGTGTCCTGGAGATAACTGTGTCATCTACGTAAGTCAGTAACAGTGCAACTTTCTGGGGTTTTTTGCTTAATTCTGTGTAGTCACATATCCTGCTGTGTACCTCAGTAACAGTTCAGTTGCTTTTCATTTAAAGGAGTTTTCAGATGTACAGACATTCTGTATTTTCTTTTTTTGCCTATATGAAATCAATATCCATAATTTTATATATATGGGGTTATTATTAAAAAAATCAGTTTCAAATATGTGTTAGAAATAGCTCTCATGAGATACTGAAACTATAAAAATCTTTAATTCATGGATGAAAGGTATCATTATATATTGTAGTCTACTATTTATACTTAATATTCCTGGCTTTCTTCTTCTTAATAAACTACTGGTTTACACAGTCCACGGGTAGTTTAGGTTAACCTTGTGACTTCATTTCTAAGGTGTTATTTCCATACTTTAACTTGATAATTTCCAATGAAAATTTTTCATATATATGTTATGTAAATGGTAGATAGAGAATACAGTTCATTAAACTGAAACTTATCTTTTACATTACAGAATTCTCTTTTTGAATTTATATATAATTTATAAGCATAAATAGTGAAGTATATAAAAATTTAACATTTGAAAACAGGTTTATGTCTGCTTCTGAAGATTGGAAACAGTATTCCTCTTTCACATGAGTCTTTAAGATGTAAAAATTCAATTCTCTTTTTTAGATCTGTGCCTATTTACCTGAATACAGAGGAAAAAGTGTTCCCCCAGAAAAAGAAAAATAACTCCTGAGAAATTTCTCGGATCATTGGAACTGAAGTATATAAGGTATGAATTGAATGCTTTGCTTATCGACCTTCATGAAACCAGGGCTCTGCAGAACAAGAACTTTTTATGAAAACAAGTATATAAGAGCATCTCTGAAAGTTGTTAAATGTTTACAGCAGCAGTATACGTTAGTGGAATAGTATCATCATTGGCATTTTACTGGAGAAACCCTGTATTTTGGCAGAATGATAACAAGTTGGACGTGTTTATCAACCTTTGCTGATCAAAAGTAGCATCAGCTGAAACCAGTGCAAGATCGTGGGTTGTGATATTTAGTTCAAAGTAATACATTTAGTAAAAGCCATGCTCCATTTTTCATCGTTCCTTTTAGTTCTAGTCACAACCTTTACTCAACAATTGTTTTTAAACCACAATATCCTCAATAAATGGAAAGGGAGAGATTTTAGCAGTCTCTTTCCTAGAAACATATATAAAGTGATGATATCTGACTTTATTTTAAAATTTCAATGAAATAAAGATATGTAAGTGAGATAGGGAGCTGGTAATTCCATCCTACAGTTTTCTGTGTCTTAAACTTCCAGAATTTATCTCAAATGATTTAAAAGGTGGCTTGTGCTTGCTTTTTGGAAAATTTAGATTAATAAAATGGTTTATAGTTGCAGAAGATGCTATATTATTTGCCATTTTTGTATTATGTTTTAAAGAAGGTCCAAATATAAAATCTAAACTGTTAAATATTTATCTAAGCTATTAATAAACTCTCTTAAATATAAAAGATTCATAGCAGAACAAGGTCAAAACTTTTATAATCTTTGACTCTGTTGTCCTTGTAAAGGACACATGAGAGAGAATGTCAGTATATTGGCAGTGTTGTAATATTTTCATTCATCTTTTCCTTGGTTACATGATTTCATATTAAAACTGATTCATGTTGCCATGCTTCCTTGCATTACACCTACATTTTAGTGTGCCTTGTACAAACGTATATTTGCCAAATTAGCCGCGCAAATTTGACCCACCCCCAGGTTTTTCATATAGAGTATAATCCTGTGAGCCTAAAAGCATGAATTCTTTGTAAGAAGGTAAAAAATTAAATTGTATACAACAATGCTACTACCTTTTGCTAATATTTCATGTATTATTATGTGAACTCATTATGTGACTATAATTTAGTCACTGTCAAGTTCCCAAGAAAGCTCCAGTCATCAGGATGATTATTTCTTTTCTAAATTTCATTGAAGATAATGCAGCAGCAATGGTCTTTTGGCACTACTGTCACTACTCTCTTGCTTGCCTATAGAATTTCTTTTTAAGGAAAATTTCACTTACAGTTGGTGAGATGTTTCCCATACCATGTGTGCTATATTTTTAAAATGGATTTGCATATCAACCTTCAGACATCACATGAATTGACTGTTGAATGGTATTGGTTTGTTCATTACTTGTTATTTCAAATTATCATAAAAATCTATGTTAATAGTTCAATACTTATAGATGAAAAGTGTTGGCCAGTCTCTTCTTTATGAAAGACTGTGCAATGAGAGAAATTATATGATAATTCCAGACATCATAATATTAGCTCAGGGCATAACTTCTACTGTTACTGAAAATGAAAATCTCTTCTTTCAGACATTTAATTTGGGTACTACTGCGGTGGGGCATACAGAATATCTTGCTTCTCATTCTTCTTGAAAAATGACATGCTGTTGTAGTATGTAGTAGTATGTATGCAGTATGTAGTAGGAGCTTTGAAGATCAGTACATGTGAATAGCAACCCTGAGTGACATGTTTCTGGAAGAAAACCCAGACATTTCCCTGGATTTCTGAGGAGAGAGGACAAGCAATTCCTGTCCCTCTCCCTCTGTGTAAACCATGAGTGCCTTTAGAATCTGAAGTATTTTCCCTTTCATTTTCTATCCCTCTCTCCTTTTTTTGCTCTTAAACTCAGTTTTACTTTCTTTTAGTATAATCGCCACAGTCATATTCTGTCTGATTTCAGAGCTCTTTGGAGGGTGTGTGTGTGCTCTTTTTGTTTTCCTTTCCTGAGTGTTGGATACCAGCAGTGTCCTAGATTACATTTTTGTAAGTATGGCTGCTATATATATGTGCCTATATATATATATATATATATGTCTATATAAATGTGTGCTATATATGTGTCCTTAACACTTACTGGTGGAAATATGTTATTTTCCCTACACTTTTGCAATAACCACCTTATCATAAACATCATAAATATGCAGCACTAATTTTTTAAGTTAACTGGCAATCTTAGGTCATCTACATGGTGCTGTGTTCATTTTATTTGATGACAGAAGACTCAGTCTTGCCTTAAGGAAGAGTAATCTGAATTGCAATTTTTCATTAGCCAGATCGTCTTTCTGTGACAGTGGGCTCTCTCTTTATGGTTCTCAGAGTTGTAGACTCTGAAGGCAGGCATGCCCCTCTCAATCTCATAGAATGACATTTAAAGCTTATGAAATGTCTTAAGAATACATTTTTTATTTTTCTGTATTAATTGGTAAAATTGATATTTTACACAGCTTAAATGCAAAAACAAAATACCAAAAACTTCAACATTATTAACGCTTTTGCTCATGGCAAAACAGGCTTTGACCTACAAAAAAGTATTCAGATAAAGAAAAGTTGCTACACTGGAGCCTTTAAGATGGCTGGAAATTTGATCTATTACTTTAAATAGACTGGCCATCAGATACGGGCATGGTGCTGTTTAGTATGTATTGGACACTGGAATTCATGGAGGTCTGTGTACAACAGAATCAGTTCATTATCTTAATTGCATGTCTCCTTTTAGCTTACTTTCAAAAGAGTTTAAAGGAAGTTATGACATTATTTATTTATATCTAAGTTCAGAATGTTTTTTACAAGGCACATTGTCAGGACAAAACAACAGTGAACAATAAAAGGCAGTTTGCTGTGAAATTACATTTATGTTAAACCATATATATACTGACTTCAAAGACAATGTCTGTCCTTCTGAAGGTATTTGGTGTCCAAACATTTCAAATTTACAGATGTGCAGTGTCTGTAATAATGATATCAAAGACAAATCCTTAGCTCAATACATTAAAAATGGATGATTACTGGATTGCTTTTTTAAGAAAAAATGCTTTCAAAATAAAATGTTAATTATCTATGATCTTGCAAACATGAAACAAAAAAGCTTGACACCGTGGTTGTAGCTGCTTTGTCATTTTAGTGGTCTGCGGTAATAAAGCTGTAGCTGTAAAAGAGCAAGATAATATTCCTAATATAAGTGAAAAAGTTTGTTTACTGACAAATTGAACAAAAGACAAAAGAAAATTTTGATCTTCCTTGGCTTAAACAACTTCTGTGCATAGGAAATTCCCTGTAATGTGCATTTAGTTCTATAATAATATTCTCTATATTCTATATTCTAATTCTATATATATTTAATTCAGAGTATTGAACTTTTTCTGAAAATTCGAGGAGAATCATGTGTCAGCCCTTAGTTGTTCACAGAATGTTTCTAAGACAGTGTGCCATTCCCAGGAGTGTAGTTGGGCTGCTTTATTTGTTTAAGAAAGACATACAGAGATCAAGATGGCTTCAGAAGCTACGCAGGGCTTTAAAATTGCTAGAGGGGAACATTGCCTTGAAGGGGAGTGTGGAGGCAATATTAAATTTTTAGCTGGCTGCCCTGATAGAGTTTTTACAAGTAATAAAAAATGTTACACAAATATGCACATCCATAAATCCATCTTCATCACAGAGAACAGTTTTGTATTACTAGTGACATAAATAGTACTCTGATCTCTTTCCTCCACCTTCCATTATAGCTAATGCTTAAGATTTATATATTAAGCATGTAAGGAAGTGACACTATGGTCCAGGAATGCAGCATCACATACCAATTCGGAGGCGCAGGGCTCCTGTGGCATCTGGGTTTGTAGGGACTGTTTCCTTTTGTTGGTACACAAAGGATAGAACCTCTTCCAAAAGCAGGGAAGGCCCAAATATTTAGTCACAGCTATTCACTTGTACAGTTGCCTCTGCAAGACCTAGCACCTGTATTTTCAGGTATGTTTCTGGCTAGGTTCAAGCAGAGGGATGGTAGGATTGTTCTTTCCTCCTTTCCTAAAGTATTGTGGCTTTTGCTTTCCTTAAAACTTTATTTTCAGAATTTACTTCTATTAGCAAATATTTTTATGAAAGCTTATGCATTTAATTGGCATATAGACAAGGCTGTGAACCTGTCATATTTGACATATGCCGTGGTTTAAGCCCAGGCCTTAAATCAGAACCACTCAGTCTACCCACCCCACACCCCCACTCCACCCCCTTTCTTCCACCCACTCTTGAAGGGATGGGATGGAGAATCGAAAGAATATAACTCCCATGGGTTGAGATAAGAACAGTCCAGTAACTAAGGCATAACACAAATCACTGCTGCTACCACCGATAATAATAATGATAAAGGAAATAACAAGGGAGATAATATAATACCACCCACCGACCAATACCTAGCCCAAGCCAGCAGTGATCTCGCCCTTCCAGGAAACTCTCAGTTTACATCCTGGGCATGACGTGCTGTGGTATGGAATACCTCTTTGGCTAGTTTGTCTCTGCTTCCTCCTGGCTTCCTCCTGGCAGAGCATGAGATTCAGAAAGTCTTTGGTCATACTAAACATTTGAGCAGTAACTAAAAACATCGGTGTTATCAGTGCTGTTCCCAGGCCAAAAGTCAAAAAAAAACAGCACTGCACCAGCTACTAAGGAGAAAAAACGACTGTTACTGCTGAACCCAGAAAAACATAGAACAGTTACAGTGGGTTTATGCTATTAGCCATCTAATAACAAGAAATTACAGGATAAAGGTGGGGTTTTGATAATGTGGTATTGACTGATGTTGAACTGGTGTTTGTAACAGATACTGTTGATAATTCATGCGAAGTTGCAGTTAATGTCCTTCAGACTTTCTTATGTTTCACCTGTGATAGTAGACACAGGTTTCATCAATGTCAGAGAGAGACGCTAGAAACCATTTCTCTATCAG